CCACCCCACCCCACCACCACCCCTGCTCGTCCTCTGTGATTGTCCTTCCTTTCTTCATTTTGTTCTTGCTTGCCTTTTCTCTTTCTTTCTTGGTGGACAAAGATTTTGGAGACCGGGTCTCACCGTGTAAGCCAAGCTGGCCTGAAACTCCTTGGCAATAATCTTCCTGCCTCATCACCAGCACTTAGCTGTGGCTTCAAAAGGTGGCAAAGACACTAAGACCCAACCAGGGGTCTTCCCTTCCCTTCTCAGTTGTGAAACAGTCATTAAAACCACATCCAGCACTTCCCCAAGCTCTATCACACCCTAAGCCTTGCTCACATTTCTCCTGAACATGGAACTCCAAAGAGTGTTCTAGGCTCCTCTTCCACAGTCTGTGATGCTGAGTCAGATGAGGAGTGCCGAGTGCCACTGGGCTGGGAGCACTGCTGGGCAGCAGTGTGGGAAGCATGGCTTGAGTAGCTCATGCAGGCCCAGGAGCAAGCAAATCCAGTTCCAATCTCCTTATAGCTCAGTGGGGGCTGATGACCTCACCCCACCCACACACCCACCTGGGCAGCCATCAGAGGGCCTGGAGCAAATGGTCCGTCCTAAAAGCCATGCAGGAAGCCACACACAGAAAGTTCTAGGTGAGAGCCAGTACCTGATGCTGCTTACCTGTAGGAGCCAGTTAAAGGCAAAGCCAAGTGTGCCTCAAGCTAGCCCAGCCCTATGGGGCAGGAGATGCCGTTCTGGTCCTCCGTGGAGTCTCTTGGGGCCCAGGAACCTAGTTGGAGAACCATGGGGGGATCTTGTACCTGGCAAAGCCTCCCCTACTTTACTCTCCTTCTGCTCCGCTGGCCTCAGTTTCCCCTTCTAGAAATGAGCTAGAATGGTCTACGGAGAATAGATGATGGGTCTCTGTGGGGGAGAGTGTGTTGATGCCTCTTTTGACCCACTCTCTAGAGTAGAGGGCGCCTCCCGACCTTTCCCCATCCCTCGGCAGTCCGGAGGGCCAGGATGGGAGTTCTGAGTGGCACAAGGAGACGGGGGCTCTTGCCAGCTGTCCCAGAACATATCCACTAGACTCCCCTGCCCCAGGTGTCCATCGAGTACAGAATGGCTTCTCCTTCCTTGGTTGGAAAGACTCCCTGCCCCCACGCCCTCCTAAGAGAGAGGAGCCCTGTGCCATCCTGGCCACGGTGTACCACAGCCTCAGCTCAGAAGCCACCTGACAGAGAAGCTGAAAGGGAGATTTCCTCCTTTGGAGGTTCCACTTTGCTCAGCACTTTCAACAGAGGGGGCAGGCGTGGCATGGGGAGGCAGTTTGGGCCACAGGCAGCAGCAGCGTTGGCTGGGCTGGGTTGGGCCGGGCCCCGGTATGGGTGAGCCAGGTTAGGCAGGACCCTAGCAGGTGGGCAGATGGTGAGCTAGCCAAGCTCTGGGGCCATGGGGGTGTCTTCTTCCCAGGTGCTAATTTACATACAAACTGGAAGCAGTGTAACCTCGCTAGTTTGTTTTAGGTAGGCGCCATGTTGCAACTAGGCTTTCCTGGTACTGGCTTCCTGTTCTTGCCTATAGTTCACCTCCATGATACACAGATGTGTGCTGGGGATAAAATACTCAGACATCCTGTTTTCATCCCATAGTACCTAAAGGAATAAGCAGTTTGGTGGTACTTCCCTATACCCTTCATACCCTGTAGCTTTCCAAATGCCCGCATCACAAGAACCCCCTAGAAGGCCTCCTCTTTGTATGACTTTGAAATTGGCCTAGTGTCTGCATGGCCCTGTCCTTGCACGTGGGACCTACCGTGACTGGATGAGAGCTGGGATCATGTTCCCTCCCTCAGCCTCAAGGTTCCATCTGGGAACTGGAGGTAGAAAGAAGACCCCTCCCCGCAGATTGTGGTAACTCTGAGGTGTTCCCACAAGCCTCTGCACCCCCGAGATGGTCGATCTGAATGGTCCTCATTGCAGAGACATGGAGCAGAGTCAGGCCACCAGCTGAGGGGGCGGTGTGCCGTGTGTCCTCCAGGCCCACCCAGTTCCCAAGCGCTTCCCTAATCTCGGTTTTAGAAAGAAGCCGGTGTGGAGACTCCATCCTTTTACTCAGCCCTGCTGCGGATCCAGCCCAAGATCGTTCACTGCTGGAGGCCCATGCGGCGTACCTTCAAGGCCTACGATGAGAACGGGACAGGGCTCCTGAGTGTGGCTGACTTCAGGAAGGTAAGACTCTGCTCTCTGTGGCTGTGTCTGCCTGGAGCAGGGAGCATGAAAAGGCCAGTAGCGTGGAAAGCCCAAAAGAGCCCCTGCGCTTGCCCAGGGAGGCCCTGGCTCTGTGGCCTTCTTACTCCTTACTTGCGGGCTACAGCTTCTCTTCCCTAAAGGTTTCTGGAAACTTCCAGGGTGTGTGTGTGTGTGTGTGTCTGTGTGTGTGTGTGTGTGTGTGTGTGTGTGTGTGTGTGTGTGTGTGTGTGTGTGCAGGCAGTACCTTTGCTTCCTTTGCTAGGCCCCTGTCTAGGCCTAGGATCTACTCCTGTGTCCTATCAGGGTCTTGGGACTGTTGGGACAGCCCAAGAGTGTGTATGTGATACAGCCTCCCACACAGGGAGCCCCACAGCACCCCACAGTGCACAGCAGAGTGGTGCCATTTGGCTTCAGCTAATCCTGGGTGCCACATAACTCTGAGTCTGCCACCCTCAGCACCCCACCCACAACCCAACTACTCATACCCCGCTCCAGCCTCCCATGCGCGCTGGGGCCAGCCACCACCCCAGCCAGGGAGCCTGTCTTAGTCCATCACAGATGGGAGGCAGTAAGATTGGGGTTCTCTTCCCCTTCCCAGGGACCCAGGGTGTGACAAGCATAGAGGACAATAAGGTGGGAATGTCCTCAGCAGAGCCGGAGGTGAGGGACATAGGGGTGTGAGCGGGGCCTCAGTTTCCTCGTCTGCTTTTCTCCCATTGGGCACGATGGCCACCAGCTGCCCTAATCCTGGGGCCCTGGGGTCTTGTAGCCCATGTTCTAGCTCTTCTTAGGAATGAATGATAGCATCAGCCACAGAGGAGAAACTATAAGGAATCTCTAGCAGGATTTGTCTGGACTGTGAGGGTAAGAAGGCAGTAGCAGCTTCAGGAGGAAGACTCCTCCTTACCATGTAGAAGGCCCGAGGTGGGACTTCCCGAGCCAGCACAGCAGTGGGGTCAGGGATCCAGTTTTGTCCTGCGACCCTCAACACGCAGCTTCCTTCCCCACCTCACAGTCCAAGGTGGCCTGTGTGTGCAGTGTGCCCCCACCTCTTCCCAGATTAAGAAAGAGGCATGCCCCTTCCCTTCAGAGAAGGTGTCCTGGGTCCTGCCACTGAGGAGGAAAGAGGTGGTGACGGCGGCGGGCACCTAGCATCTCCAGCCGGGGCTCCTCCACGCCCTGAGCCTGTGGGTGAGGGATGAGGGAAGTCACCTGCAGGCACCAGCACTGCTGAATCAGCCTCCCGCCCACCAGGTGCTTCGGCAGTACAGCATCAACCTGTCGGAGGAGGAGTTCTTCCACGTGCTCGAGTACTATGACAAGTCACTCTCTTCCAAGATTTCCTACAATGACTTCCTGCGTGCCTTCCTGCAGTAGACATCCAGGCGGGGCTGCACTGGGGACAGATGGGGCCTCAGGGTCTGTCCCCAAGACTAGCAAAACCAGACCATGGAGGGCTGTAGTGAATTCCCCAAAGCGGCTTCAGAGCCTAACCCTACCCAGCATCAGGCTCCCGAGATGTGCAGGCTCTCGCCCCAACCCCCTTTGGGGCTTCTCACAACAGCAGGGCGGCCGCTGGCCTCGGGCGTCCTCACTCATTAGTTTGAGCAAATAAAATAGTCTTTGCAGGAATGACTCTTGAGACTTTAAAAGAACTACTACTAATAAAATGTTTCAAAACTTGGGATTCTTGGGGGTTTGTTCATGATTGCCTGCAGGGCACCCCCTCCCATCCACGGTCCCTGCACTATTATTCAAGGGCCAAGGCTGCTTCTGCCCACCCTCCTCCGTCTTAGATCAGAGGACAGCTGGATCCCCATGTCCATGTCCATCCTGGTTAGTTTTTTGCCAGCTTGGCACAAGCTAGAGTCATCTGAGAAGAGGGAGCCTCAACTGGGGAATTTCCTCCATCAGCTTGCCCTGTAGGCAAGTCTGTCGGGCATTTTCTTGATTAATGATTGATATGGGGGGCCCAGCCCACTGTGAGCAGTGCCACCCCTGGCCAGGTGGTCCTGAATCATATAAGAAAGGAGTCTGAGCAAGCCATGGGGGAGCAAGCCAGTAAGCAGCGTTCCTCTATGGCCTCTGCATCAGCACCTGCCTCTAGTTCCTGCCCTGGCATCCCTCAGTGATGGAGTGTGACCTGAGAGCTGTAAGATGAAATAAACCTTTTTCCTCCCCAAATTGGTTTTGGTCATGGTGTTTATACAGCAGTAGCAAACTAGGTCAATGTCCCTACCCTCTTCTGCTGAGTTCCACATTCCTTCCAAGGTCCAACTCTAAGGTCACCTGCTTGGGGAGCCTCCCATGACCTCTGGGGAGGGCAGTCGTGGGCAGCATCCCCATGCAGGGTGCACCCCTACCCCCCCACCCCCACCCCCCGACCGTAGCACTGGGCACCAAGTCCAGCTGGTAGGGTGAGAGTGCAGACCTGCTTTGCACCCACAGCTTGGGAAGGTCTTTAGGCTGGCCAGGCCTGGCCTCTGGATCCCCCTCTCAGGAAGAAAGCGAAGCTGCAAGTTGGGCGGTAGCTTGGGTTCAGGGGTCCGCTCTGCTGGACTTTTTGGCACAGGGAGATCTACTCTCTACACTTAGCCACATCTCCAGCTTCCCAGCACTGTCGGCCAGAAGGCTGGTGTGACACCTCCAATAGGGTTACATTGCAGTCCCTCACTAACACAGACCAGGAGACACGGGGCTCCTAGGAGAGCTGGCACGTGCCACTCCAACCCCAGAAACCGAAAGGGTCCCTGCGTTGGTTGAGTAACCTATTGAAATCCACAGTGTGGGGGATGGAGTGAGGCGGTTGTGGGTGCTCACACATGTGCCTAGAACTTGGCACTCATCTCATCCGGTGCCTCGGCCTTCATCTTCCCCACACTGACTCTCACACAACCTTGAACTCAGAACCTGCTGTTTCTTCTGCCAGTTCCTCCTCAGAAGGCAAAGCCAACCCCTGGATTCCCGTGGCCGAGACACTCTTGTCTAGCACTGCTGAGGAGCTGAGAGAGGAAGAGGATGGCAGCAGTAGAAGAAGGCGGGACTTGAGGTAGCCCACAGAGCCCAGAATGCTCACTTCCTGCCCCTGAATGGGAAAGGGTGCAAGCCCCTTGGTCTACACGCCCAGCTTTCAACAAAAATATGATCCGATGCTCCAAAGCGAACAGTCTGCAGAGACAAGCATGGGGCTCAGATTCAGCGTGGATTTTGGAAACTACCAGAAGGTTGAAGAAGCAGACCTGCTTGTTATCAATGATAATGGAAAAGGAAGACCGTAAACACCGACTACACAGGAAACTCCAGCAGAGAGGAAAACCCGGGGACCAAGACAAATGCTGCAAAGGTCAAGGCAGTGACATGGTGGGCTTGTCAGCAAATGGAGCAATGAACGTGGCAGTGGGTCGGCAATGGACAAGGTGGAGGGTCAGCAAATGGAGCAATGGACGTGGTGGTGGGTCGGCAATGGACAAGGTGGAGGGTCAGCAAATGGAGCAATGGACACGGCGGTGGGTCGGCAATGGACGCGGCAGAGGGTCAACAATGGATGACAATGGATGCGGCGGTGGGTCAGCAATGGACACAGTGGAGGGTCAGCAGTGGATAGCAATGGATGCGGCGGAGGGTCAGCAAATGGAGCAATGGACGCGGCAGTGGGTCAGCAATGGACACGGTGGAGGGTCAGCAACGTGTGGATAGATGCAGAGAGAAAATGACAGACTGGAGTTGTCGGGTAGGAAATGAGGAAAGAGAACCCAGGGAAGGAGTGTGTGGTAGAGAACCTCCACAAACCTGTTGACGACACTGAACACCAGAAGGAAGAACACAGGACCAGGTGCAGCCACACGCACACCCTGGAGCATCCTACCAGACAGATGCGGGACCCTCGAAGGGAAGAGGCCCACTACCTGCAGAGGTCCAGGGTGAAGACCCCAACACCTCTTCCCAGAAACCACCTCTCCCCAGATGGCCAAAGAGGAGGAGGGCTGAGAGGAGAACGGCAAAAACACCACAGCTTGCAAAAGACCCTACCCAAGCAGGGGATGCAGCTTTATAGACACACAAAACCCAAAGGAAACGTTTAAAAGTAGGGCTCGGTGGCATGCGCTTGGAATTCAGTGCTGGGAGAGGTGGAGACGGGCGAATCGCTGGGGCTCATCAGGCGGCCAGCCTAGCCTACTTGGTGATTTAAGATTCAGGGGAGACCCTGGTTCAAAAATAAGGTGGAGAGCAACCGAGGAGGTCACCCAAGGTTGATCTCTGGTCTGCATGCATGCATGCACATATACATGTGCATTCGAATGCACGCCCATACACATGCAGGCACACACCTGTGCACACTGGTTCCCCCCTCCCCTCCCCCACACACACGCAGACAAACCTCTCAGCAGTCGAAACAAGAATGGTTGTGCTGAACCAGCATGACTGACTGCACAGGACATTCCTGAGAGCCAGAACGCTCCTAGAATTAATAGGCAGTGTGCGGCCAGGTCACTGGACGTCACTAGCATCTCCAGTTAGCAGGCACAACCAGAATGGAAGTTTAAAAGCTCCACCTCGTACGACAGCCCCTCCCAGTAGAACACATAAACCTAAAAGCACTCCACAGGTCGTCCTGAACAGTGGCAGACTATGGAGCACTGAAAAACAAAACCAGAGATCAAAGTGCAGAGATGTGCAGCGCTCCTGGGTGGGAAGACTTGTGGACACATCTTCACAGTTGGGTCTTCCCCGAGATGTTTATTATTGTATGTGTGTATATGTGACTGTGTGCCACATGTGTGCAGGTGCCTGCAAAGACCAGAAGAGGGGGTCAAATCCTCGGGGAGCTCAAGTTGCAGGTGGTTGTGAACCACCCCATGGAGGCTCTGGGAATCGAACTCTGGTCTTCTGCAAGAGCAGCAAGTGCCCTTAACCACTGAGTCATCTCCAACCCCCGCACAGTTTGAACAGTGCCTTCTCTACAGCCCCAGCCAGGCTCTCAGAGGGTGTTTTTGGTAGATAGCAACCAGCTAACCCAACAATGTATGTAGAAAATAATCCTCCCTCAAAAGCAGAAAATAAAATTGGAGGGCTCACGTGGGCCGATCTGAAGATACACACCCAAGCACGGTAGTTAGGGATACAGGGTCAGCAAAAGATGATGGACAAAAATGAGAAGCCCAGAAATGTCCCACACGGATGCACCCGGCTGATTCTGACACATGGAGGAACAGTGCCCGTGTGCAGAACGTGCACCTTGGCACACCCCCACCATGTGATATGATCCTGGAATGCACAGGTATGTGAAACAGAACTGAAACATGAGAGAAACCCGCACAGCCTCGAGTTTGGAAGCAACACCTGCATTCCTCAGCTTTTCCTCGCCGCGACAAAACACCCGAGACGGAACACTTCTAAGGAAGGAAGGTTCCGTTTGGCCCACCTTCTCAGAGGTTCCGGCCATTGGCCTGGTCGCTTTGGGCTGTGTGGTCCATGTAACAGGAAGGCGTGGTGGAGAGGACTGCTCCCCTTGGGGCAGGCAGCCAGGAAGGGAGTTAGCTGGGCTCCCAACACGCTCTCTGCCCATATGCCTGCAGTAGCCTAACTTCCTCCTGCGACACCCTGCCTCCCAGTAGATCCACAGGTTGATGACGGCCTGTCACTGCATGAGACTTTGGGAAACACCTGTTACAAATGTTAACAGTATCCAAAAAAAAAAAACAAAAAAAAAAACAAAAAAAAAAAACAATGGAATGAGGGGGGGATGACAAATGGGGCTTAATAAAAAAAAATTCAACACTTGCTCTGAGAATGGAACTAGAAAGACCAACCCACAGATGGAGAGAATAGACAGAGATTTTAAATATCATCAGCAAGAGGCAAGAGAGATGGCTTAGTGTTTGTTAAAGCGCATGTGTGCCAGCGCAAGAGAATCAGAGTTCCGACCCCCGGGGCCCCGTGAGCCTGGCAGTTCCCTGTGAGTCCAGCCCTCAGGAGATGGAGATAGGAGGGTCAAGACATCCACATGCTCCGATGAGTTCTTGTCGGCCGACTCCCTGTTACCGTCTCAACAGGGCTGTGGAGGGAGGGGTACAGCTCAGGAGCAGCGTGCTTGCCTAAGGTGTGAAGTGAGAAGGGAGGGAGGAGGGAGGGAGGGAGGGAGGAAGGGAGGAAGGGAGGGAGGGAGGGAGGGAGGGAGGAAGGGAGGGAGGGTGAGCTCCAGAGACTCTGGTGCACAAAGCAGCTCCAATGTGATGGCACCTAAGGCAATAGCCTCAGAGGGCCGTGCCTGTCCGGGAGCCCTACTGTGGCTCCAGTGGTTACGGGCAGACGTTGGTGCTTCCTCAGACTGAACAGGGCTTCAGGAGCAATGGTTCAAAAGTCAAGGTCCCAGGACAGGATGCTGCAGGCCTGTGAGGCCCTGGGCAGGGAAGCAGTCTGAGGAAAGGTTTATGAGGTGGTTATTATATATCTGTCCTAGGCCACCCCTCAGGCCTTTTCTGCCCCAGATCCATGGCTTTACCTATTATGGCAGATGTGTCCCAAGAGAGGCTTCTACTTCATGTCATTTGTCAACTGGACCACAGCACACCTCCTCTCACAGCCCCAGGTCCCCCCCCCCCTGCTCAGGAGGCCCAAACAGAACTATGTGGCTTTTCCTCACACCCGTTTTTACTTCCACACCCCCTTTCAGTGACTAACAGCCCA